TGTTTCTCTCTCATCGTTGTTTCTAACTCTCTATCCCTCTCCCTTCCTCTCTGTAAGAAATTAATAAAATATATTTAAAAAAAAGAGTAACGAACAGCACTGGACAAGATGGAGGAAGTGGACATGACCAACAGCCACCTGGCCAAGCAGCTGGAGAAGATGAAGGCCAACAGGACAGCACTTCTGGCCCAGCAATAGGGAGGCCACCGTCTACCTGGGAGTTCTGGGGCCCACCCAGAGGGACTGACTTCTGCCCATTGACAAACCCCTCTCAGTGCTGTTTGAGTTTGTCATTAATATAGCCACCTTTGTATTTTATAATTTATGAGAGAATGAAATAGGTTAGAATCTTCAAAAAATGGATATATAAATATCCCCCTCTTTCCTCCACCTGCCTTCACCAACCCGTCTCCCCTTAAACAGAAACAGAGGAGAACCAACAACTAAGTAAGGAAAGCCAGAGGGACTGGAGGGGCAAAATGAACATTTGCATTCTGAAATTCCATCAGGGTGGGTATTTTCACCTGTTCCATTTGCTATTGAATCTTCAGCAACTAGAACAATGTCTGGCACAAAGTCAGTGCTCAATAAATACCTATAGAAGACTACCATTTTACACAGTGGAGGAAAGAAAGGCTTTACCTTGAGGGGTGGGGCAGGGTTGGAGACTGGTTAGGGGCTGAAGGTACGAAATATTTTCATTGGCAATCAACTGTGTATAAATAAACAGAGGTAACCTCAATTCAAGTTTTAAAAAATCCTGACAATGAAGTTCACTTAACAGATAAAGTTTAGGCAACAGAAGCCTTAGCTCCATTGCATCTAAGTGATAATGACCTGCAGGAAGGAGGTGCAGGGAAGAAGGAAGGGGTGGGGTACCCACAGACATGCCAGGGCACAGGCCAGGGGCAGCCCCTGCCCAGACCTCCTTACCGTGTCTCCAATCTTGAGTCCAACACAAGACTTAAGGCCTGGGATGACCTCGTTGTTGAGACAAGTGGCGTTGAAGGATAGAGACAACTCCTCGGGAAGGTCACGAACCTCCAGCTCAACTTTAGAGCGAATTTTCTGAGCAAAAGAAGGTAAGGAAATGGACTGAGAGGAAATGGGTAGGTGCCAATTCCATCCCAAGCAGAATCTCCCAGGTGGCCCTGGACTGACCCTGCAGTGCCAGCTGCTGAGGTTCACTTGGAAGTTGCCAGAGTCCCCCTAAGAGCCTGTTACTTGCTATATTTCCGGCCCAGGCTCTGCTCCCTCTCTCTCTCCTCACTTGTGTCTAGGTGAGTCTGGATAACATCTAACCCAGCCACACCCTCCTGTAGGCCTCCTGGATGCGCGAAAGGGAAGTGCTAATGCTGGTCACCTTGGGTAGTAGCAATTTCTACCTAATTTTTTATCAGCCTCACCTTCCCTGTGGCTCAGCTCCCTCTTTTTCTCTTTTGTTGGAGCCCAGCTCTCCCTCACTCAGTCTCCTCCTCTAATTTCAGGACTCTGCTCCTTTCTCATCCTCGCCCCCATCCTCTCTTTCCCTTCTACCTCCTCTAAGCTCTTCCCCCATTGTTCCCAAGCTCCCTGGCTTTCCATTCTGAGCCATTTCTTTCTCAGAAGGCTGCATTCCTCTCAGTGCTGGCCATCACCTGGCCCCTCGATGAACAAGAGGAAGGGTGCAAGGTAAACTGGCAGCCATGACTCACAAATCTGAGTCCTCCTGGGTAAATGCCAAGTGAGGTGCACTCTTAGCCGGCCCTTTTCCAGTGTAAGACACTTACCCCATAGGAATCAACAATGAGCTGGAGGACATTGCTGGAATCAGCAGACAGAACCCCCACTGTAGTCCCTGGGATGAGCTCACTGTAGTTCTAGAAAGGAAGACAAAAATATACAAGACTGACTGAATGAAGGTGGTGGTCCCCAAAGGCCCTCCCCTAATCAGATGAAGGGTCTTGAAATGAAGATTGAGGAGAAAGAGAGGATATTTATCTTGTCACTGCCAGGAATAAATCTAGCAGTTTTTCAGCACTGAGCAAAATTAGAGAACACCTCTCACACCCCTTACCCCACTGACTTGCTCCCTTCCCCACAGCAAACATTGACACACCCATACTGCTAGGTCAAAGTTGGAAAGGAATCATTAGCTCCTGGGAGTAGGTTGTAGGAGCATCTTTCCTGGTTGGGAACCATGGTCAATGCTGGTTCCCTAAGATAAGTCCTCCCATCACAGCCCCACTCCCACTCCCACTTCCACTCCCATTCTAGGAAGCCCTGATGGCATAGTTACCTGGTAGAGTTTGACTACTCCTTCAGTCACCGCAAAGATCAGATTGATGTTTTTCTGGGACAGCTTCTCGGTCATCAGCCCCAAAGAGGGATAATCCTATAAAAAGAGAGGATGTGAGCCCTAGCTGGTTTGGCTCAGTGGATAGAGCATTGTCCTGTGGACTGGGGTGGGGTGGGGTCCTCAGGTTCGATTCCAGTCAAGGGCACATGCCCAGGTTGCGGGTTCAATCCCCAGTGGGGGGCATGCAGGAGGCAGCCGATCAATGATTCTCTTTCATCATTGATGTTTCTATATCTCTCTCCCTCTCCCTTCCTCTCTGAAATCAATATAATATATAAAGGAGGATGTGGAAGTTACGTTTAAGAAGTCTAGTCACTTCCATCTCTGGACTCTAAGCCTTAGACCTTGGCTGACTTGAGCCATGGCCCAGACATTGGTGGTACTTACATAAACCTTTCCACCCCGTGATCAATGTGAGGCAATGGGGCAAGTAGCAGCAAAAACCTAGTTGTGAATTCCAGGGTTAAATGAAGAGGTACAGGCTGGCGGTATCAAAACTAAGCACCTCTTTCTTCCTACTTGAATTCGGTGCATTCATACCAAGGAACTGCTTCCATGGGCCAGGTATTGTTAGACCTTGTTTTGATGCTTGTTTTGCAACTACTGACAAATGCCTTGGCTTGGTGCTTGCAATACTCCACCATGTGGTCCTTCCACCCTTCCTTTCCAATCACCACTCACCTCTCTCCCTCTTCCACTTACCACTGACCTGGCCTATTCTCTTTCTCCCACCTAGAGTGGCCTTCTTTTTGGTAATCCTGCTCCTGCCTAGGGACGCAGTTCAGGTCCTGCTTTCCCCAGGAGGCCTTCCTTGACTATCCCAGCTCATGAGGAGCTTTCCTCCTTTGAATATATAAAGGCCTTATTGACTGTGCTGATCATTTAACACTAAGCATGCATCTGGTGTTATTGGTAACTCATTCCTCATCGAAACCAAAAACTCCATAAGGGTAGCACCTCTATATAGTCTCTTTATCTACCTTAGCCCCTGGTAAGGAGTCTTACCTAGAATAAGTGTCAGTGGTTACTGACTCACCCATTGTTGGGTAGTGCTCTACTTAGATATGACTGACACCGAGGAATTCAAGTCACAATGGGGATGCTGGTGAATTGTGAACATGTCTCTGGGATCCTAGACCTTCCAGGGAACTCATGAGACCATCCAGCTTAGGCTCCTGCCTTAACACAGGTGTACCTTTAAGCTACCTAGACAAGGTAGTTGCTATATTGTCTTTAAGAGATAAAATAAAGAGTTCATACCTCCCCCAAGATACCCAGAGTATCAGCACTCTGAGGATCTGTAAATTCTCTTTATGGCATACATCAATTTCTCTTGTTTCCATTTAAATCCCTTTCCTCTTATTTAACCTTCTATGATCATAGAAAACAACTTATAAGAAGGCTTCTCATATCTCAGCTAAATCATCCTTTACCCTTCATTCTTTCAAGCTAAATGATTCTGAGACTTTTCCTCACAGGACTAGCTCTCCATGCTTTTGATGATGTTTGTCTCTTTTTTCTCTGTCTACTTCTGATAACCAAAAGTGAGGATGGTATTCCAAGAAGGGCTAATCCATGCAGTAGACGAGAAGGCCTGCTTTCCAGCTGGACCTGTAAAAGTCCTCCGGGTCCATTCTGGATGCTATGATGCTATTGCTTGTGCTGGAGGCAGTGGAGATAGTGGTAATACTGATCACAGCCAGGCCCTGACTACAGATTGTACAGGTTGTACCCTGAATAAGAATGTCCAGTTGGGGGTGAGGGCAGGCTGAAATGAGCCCTGAACCCTGGCCAGAGGAAGGGCTTCCATTTTCATATTCACACAAAAACTCTGCCTGGGTTAGGGCAGCTGGCCACGGTAAATGGAGAGCATAGGTGGTGTCAAGATCCTCAACATGACCTGGCCAGCATGGCTCAGTGGTTGAGCATCAACCTATGAACCAGAAGGTCACAGTTCGATTCCCAGTCAGGGCATATGCCCAGGTTGCAGGCTCAATCCCCAGTATGGGGCGTGCAGGAGGCAGCCAATCAATGATTCTCTCTCATCATTGATGTTTCTATCTCTCACTCTGTCTCCCTTCCTCTCTGAAATCAATAAAAATATATTTAAAACAACAACAACAACAAAAACCAAGAACCTCACCATGGTAGTGGAAGCAGAGTAATGGTTGTCACTGCCAACGTGGCACTGCCCGTCATTGGGCTGGACAATGCCTGCTAGCCTTCCATCCAGTGCTATATGGGTCTTGGCATCAGTGGTAAACACCAGCAAGTGGGATGCATCATTCCTCCAGCCAATCTTCTCCTGTTTAAAAAAAAAAGGTAAAAGAGGGAAAGATGGGATGCATCATTCCTCCAGCCAATCTTCTCCTGTTTTAAAAAAAAAAAAAAGGTAAAAGAGGGAAAGCGACTTTAAAAATATTTTTTTATTGATTTTCAGAGAGGAAAGGAGAGGGGGAGAGAGAGATAGAAACATCAATGATGAGAGAGAATCATTGAACTGCTTCCTCCTGCACGCTCCCCACTGGGGATTGAGCTTGCAACCCGGGCATGTACCCTTGACCGAATTAAACCCAGGACCCTTCGGTCTGCAGGCTGACGCTCTATTCACTGAGCCAAACCAGCTAGGGCGAGAAAGCAATTTTAGATGTCTCATTGGCAAAAAACAAAGATCCAAAGGACCTCCCTGCCTGAAGGTCTGAACAAGTTCTCTTGGTGAAGGGCCTCAGTCCCAGTCCTTGGAACACAAGTTGAAATTTCCCAACTCAGGAGTTTCTGTTTCTTAGGAAAACAGTCTCATGGCTGATTAGTTCAAGCAGCCAAGAGACACAATTCAATTCCAGTGATAATCACATGGCCCACTTAGAAACCCACCTGCATCTGCAGAGCTGAGCTGGGCTAGAAGAAATCCTTGTTTAACATCTTCCTGCTTACCTGAGGTTAAGTTAACCTAGCTTGATCCTGATACACTTCTAGAGAAGATGAGAAAATGCTCTCCCAGAGAACATCTGCTACCAAGTGGTTCAAAAATTGTCAGCTCTGGCCAGGGAGCAGATATAAGCAGAGGTTGCTTATCAGGAGCAATTTTTTGCCTATACTCATTTTTATTTTTATTTTTATTATTTTTTTTTTATTTATTTTGCCTATGAAGCTCTGCTTAATTCCTATCTCTTATTTCACATAGAAATCCCCACAGTAGAACCACGTCATTCCCCATTTGATCTGCACTAACCACATTGGCACTCCATGCCCTCCAAACTCACATCGCAGACTGTAGCCTGCATGATGGCATCAAAGCCACCCTCTGGGCCGTCTCGGTTCCGTGACACACTCTGCTTCTTCACCTCCTCGTTGAAGCGGTTCACCTGGTCAGTTAGTGTCAGCACATGTTTGTAGCCAAACATGGGCAAACAGGTAGCCTTCATACTGGGAAGGGAAGAAGATAATTTAACCAGACAGCCTGATGGAAAAGACTACATGGGGAGTGGGAGGGGGAAAAAGGGGAAACAAATATGGATAATAGGATTATCCATATTTGTAGAGAACTGGAAATTACCTAGAGTCTAGGTCTTAGACGATTACCCAGTTTAGACTCCAAACCCCTCAAATGACCACATTGACCTTACCTCCAGCTAGCCTAGAGGGCAAAAGAGTGAGCTGCAAAACTACATTGCCTTGGTTCAGATCTCAGCTCCTCTACTTATAAGTCATGGAACCCTAGGCAAGTTTCTCTATACTTAACCTATAAAAATGGGAAATGAGAGCACATATTTCATAAGAGTTATGTGCACAAATTTTTGTGCACCGGGCCTCTAGTATTTCATAAGAGTTACTGTAAGGCTTCAATGAGTTAACACAAAGCACTTAGCTCAGAGGCTCTTGTTGTTGCTATCACCTTATATTTAATATTTCTCTAAAGTAACATTAACACAACAATAAAGCAAAAGTTTCACCAATAACAATGTCCCCGAACCATCAATAAATTGGTAGATCTGTGCCAGACAGGAGCATTTCTGTCCCCAGCCCAATGGTTTGTTTGTTTAATTGATGGCTGATATCTTAACTGGGGAACCTTACAACTCAGAAGCTTAAAAAGGCATACCATATAACTTTGAAAACTCAAAAATAAATCTGTACTTGTGAGGCTCAGAAACCATCATTAAAAATTGTTATGGGTTTTCATAGTCTCCATCAATTACACAATAAGCATTTTAACCTTGAAGACTCATACTCTTGATGAGTAGAACAATGATGAAAATAACAATGAAATCAATCCTTCTGAAATCATAATTCCTCTATTTACTTATCCATAAGTTTCTCTCTACTTTTGATCTTATTCCTGCTCCCCCCAGCATTCTCTTGTCTCCAGTTTAGTTGTGACCAAGACCAAGAAGCTGATAGATTTTTTTTCTAGGTCTTCAAACAGCTTTTGAGACCTTTTGACACAACACTCAGATCAATAGGGTGGCTCACTTGCTAGTCAGAAAGACTAAGGTAGAGAGAAGATATGATTTGGCCAGAAGGTAGCCAACAAAGCTACCCTAGAATCTACTACCTTGAGTCATAAAAGTTGTGGAAGTTAATACACTTCAGACCCTAGAAAATTCTGGAACTATGTCCCACCCTGAATCCCATAGCACCCACTTGCCTTATACATAGAAAGTATTTCCTTAAATTCTCTTTGATTTAATTAGAAAAGTCACAATCAATGCTTCTAAAAGCCTTCTAAGGAAGGATTAAGTCTCTTGGCTTAATCCTTCCTCCCTCTGAAGGTCTCTTACCCCTATATTCTTTGCCCCATGCCCTGCCTTGACTTCTCCTCCCTCTGAAGGTCTCTTACCCCTATATTCTTTGCCCCCATGCCCTGCCTTGACTTCTCCAGAAGGACTTACTCGTAGCAGGGGTTTTTGAGGGCCTCTGGTGGGGAGATGTACATGTATGGTGATGCAGGCTTGTCCACAAAGGCCCCAAAGCCAATCCGCAGGTTACTGGTGAGCTTGCGCATCTGGGAGGCCAGCTTGGTACCCAGGTTCTGGATGCTCGACAGATCATCTTTCATGGAGTAAGACAGGTCCATCAAGTAGTAGATGTCCACAGGGTAGTCCTCCACCTGCCGGACTTGGATGGAGAAACTCTTCGAATCATCTGGAAGACAGAAGGATGTTAGTTTTTCTCCTCTTCTCCCTCAAAGACTTAACAAATGGATTTGGATGGACACAGGATTAAGATACTTCTTGACCAAACCAAACTTGAAAACCCTGGTCCCTTCTCCTCTCCCCCTTCCCCTTCCAATCTCTTGACCCTCCCATTTTTAACCTTTTCCATTTTAATATTCTCTACCTTCTCTAAGTGCCCATCTGCCTAATCCTCTGGATCCCAAGAGTCTACTACCTTGAGTCATTGAAGTTGTGGCAGTTACTATACTTCAAACTCTAGAAAAGGCTGAACCCATAGCACCCACATGACTTACACATAGAAGGTGCTTTCTTACAGTCTTGATTTAATCAGAAAAGTCACAATCAATGCTTCAAAAAGCCTGTTTCTTAGCTTAATTCTTCCTCCCTCTGCTTCTCTTTGCCCCCATGTCCCTGCCCCAAATCTCACACGGAAAGGGGGCTTATAAATTGCTTTCTCATCTTATATCTCATTTGAGCCTCAACACAAAGCACAAGCTTGGCAAAATAGGCATTGGGGGAAAGTAGGGACAAACGTTTTTTGAGTCCCTACTATGTTAGAAGGGTTGAGTAACTTGCCCAAGTTCAAATAACTAACATATGGGAGAGTCAAGATTCAAACTCCGATCTTCTGACACCAAGTCCCAACATCTTCCATTCTCCTGCCCACACCTTTCCCCACATCCTTCTCTTCCTGCCCCATTACCATTGCGAGTGTCTTCCCCAAGGCTTCCTGATCAGACCTCCACCTTGTGCCCTGTGTGCATCTGCCCGGTGTCTCCCCACAGTGTGCCCATCCCTACCTGGCCGGAGCCGGAGCGCAATCCTCTGGGGACTGACTTGAGTGATTTGGGAACTGTCTCCAGAGCCCTTGTCGCTGAGAGGCCTGGCCTCCAAGATGCGGACCTCACTGAGGGGGAACTCGATGGACTCCAGGGCACAGTTATCCTTCAGCAGATTCTCCTTCAGGTTACAGCGGGGTGAGCCCGGAGTCAGGGTCTGTAAAACAGGAGCCCAAGGGGCAGCCCTGTAATTGGAGCCATGGTGGTTCTCTGCCTCCTGCAGGCCCTGCTGCCTCCCAGTGGCTGAGAGTTTATCCAGCATTTTGGGGCTGAACCAGCATAAATGAACTCGTGTGATCCATTATACAGAAGGAGAGAACTGAGGTTGGGTGAGTACTGTCTCGTGGATTGGTAGCCAGGAAGAAAGCCAATTCAGTATGATGCCTGTTAAGCTACTGCTTTTCAAAATCTGAAATGCAACCCACGGTGGGTCCTAAAAATCAATGAAGTGGGTCTCAACCATCTATTTATCAAATAAAATGCAATAGAATAGAATAGAAAGTATGAACGTACATAAATGGCAAAAGTAAATATTGTTTTGTGAAACATTTATATATTGGGGAGTAGGGTATAATATGTAAAATACATAATGACATGCAATTTGTTTCTGAAGGTCAAGGTCAAAGCAGTTTGGAAGCTGACTGCATTAAGACGCTGACTAGGATCTGAGATTTATGAGGCAAGGGGCTGTTCCTTTTCTACTCCCAGTTCCCAAACCAGGACTTACCACAGAGGTGATGGGGGAAGAGGTACTGGGCAGCAGCAGAGAGTAGGGGCTAAGCACATAGGAGCAGATTGACGGAGACTACAGCTCAGCATTGCCTCTTATTAGCTAGTGATTAGCATGAGTCACCTAAACTCTCCGCACCTTGTTTTCTCAGCGATACCGTGGAGACAGTAACAGCCCCAGCCTCACAGGGATGTTATGCAGGACAAAGTAAGACAATGCAGGTAAAACTCGTAGCATGGTGCCTGCCACCGGATAAGTGATTAATGAAGGTTAGCTATGATTATGAGATGCTCTGTAAATAGTTCCTGGATAAATTAACTTTGAATAAGTTTCACAAGCTTGGGCAAGTCCCATGGTGCCAGATCATTGGCCAGAGTCCATCCTATCACTTTAAGCTTCCTCCCTGACCCTGGACAGAGAGCCAATTGATCACCCTTCCAAAAACCCTGGTGTGTATCCCACCCTCTGGAGCTCTGTGTGTGTTTACACCTGAGTATTGAATGGGGGACATCTGCACTGGAAAGAACACTGGAAATCAGGAAATAGGTTCGATCCTAGGTCTGCCACTAACTAGGCATGTGACCTCAAATAACTCATTTCACTCCTGTTGGCCTCAGTTTCCTCACCTATTCGAAAGGGGCTTAGAGGACTTGGTGTTTTCAGTCCCTTCCTGCTCTGACATCCAGTAAATTTAGCCAACACTGTGTGGGCACAAGTCCCTCGGGGCTCCTTGGCAGGCTGGAGGGACTGGCAGGAAATCTGGAAAACCCCACCCTGGACCTATTTCACAATATCTAGGCCTTCAAGCCCTCAAACCAAACCTCAATCTCCACCCACCCCTCTCACAACCACTTCCAGAAGTCAGCTGACGAAGTCATACCGATATCCCACAACAACTAGTGTGAACGTTTATGGAGCACCTACTGCATGGCAGGCACTGTGCTAAGCACTTTGCATGGGTTACTGCGGTCCTCCTGGTTACAGCTCTGTAACGCTGGAACTATTTTCATTTTACAAGTGAGGAACCTGAGGCTGGGAGACTTCACAAATGAGGAACCCAATCTTACAGGTAAGAAATCTAAGAAATTAAGTGACTTGCCCAAAGTTACAGAGCTAGGAAGTGGCAGAAGTGAGATGCTAATTAGATTGTCTGACTGCAATTATCCTCACAAAATGATAAATGGTATTACATTCTGCATAGAGTGAGAACCCAGGCAGAGAAGCAGGACTGTGGAAGTGATGGGCCCAGGAAGAGCCACACCAGAGAACGCCCCAGGTAGGGAACAGAATGCAGGATGAGGGTGTGGGAGGTGGGGGAAGGATAGATCACATTCTGCCTCTTTAGCCCCCTCAGGTGACTGGTAGCTCAGGAGAGGGATAGGGCCACTAGGGGCTATTCATGTTTTAAAAGTCAGGACTCCACAGCCTAAAACCCCTCATGATGCTAGAAGTCTCCCTCCCTCTCCTGCCCAGCCCTCCTCTGATGGGCTGAATGGCTTCCCAAGGTGGGTGGAGAGATGAACAACACCATAGGGCTACACCCTGATTGTTTGTGTCCACCCAGAATTCATACGTTAAACCCTAACCCTCAAGGTGAAGGAATTAGGAGGTGGGGCCTGGGTCACGAAGTGGAGCCCTCTTGACTGAGGTTGGTGCCCTTCAAAACAAGCCCGAGAGCTCTCTGGCCTCTCTGCCATGTGAAGACACAGCAAGAAGACAGCCATCTATGACGCAGACGGTACCTTGATCTTGGACTTCTCAGCCTCCAGAACTGTAAAAATTAATGTTTGTTGTTAAGCCACCCAGTCCATGGTATTTTTGTTACAGCAGCCTGAATGGACTAGGACAAACAGCATGAGGACCACCCTGGCCCAGGCAAAAAGTAGAAAGAGCTTTCAGAAGCCAGCATCTTCCTTCTTTCTCCCAGGTATGTGGTCGAGAAATGACATCGGCAATGGGAAACAATGCATAAGACTTAACCTTCCTGACTCAGAAGGTTCCAACAGGGACAGCACAGATCCTCCAAGCCTCTGAGAGAAATGAAAATCCCGTCTTGGCACTCAGCTCTGGCCGAGGACAGAATGACAGAGGACAGAACTCATGAGCAGTTCCCATTTTTGTGCCCAAACTCCTCTTGCTGCCCCTGCCCATCTCTCCCGAAGCTTCTCCCTCAGGAAGCAGTCTCTTTCTTGCTCAGAAAACTCCCTACCTTATCTCTGACTCCAGCTGCCCACTAAGCCCCAGGGAGAAACCCTTCCAAAAAAGGCAATGACTGCATAGAACAAGAAGCACCGAGGAGCTGAGTCTTTCCAGGACTGAGACAGATGCTGAAGGAGAGAGGGAGGGGTGAGACCAGGACACTGAATGAGAGCAGCAAGGCCATCCTGCATCTTCAAGCTGCAGCAGCAAAGAGAGGAAATGTTTGGAGTTTGGTTGCCAGACCCCCATTTTCTAATGGGACAGTGCATATTGGAGGGTTTGAAGTGCTAAGCCTTGCTGACTGTCCTTATGGTTTGTTATGAATGTCCTTAGAAATATAAACACTAAGAAACAAAAACTGTCTCCATCCCCCACCCCCTCCCGCTTTGTGGTCACTGACACCAGAGGTCAGGAACTGAGCAGGCCTGCTCCTCGGCCACGCTCTCCCTGAGAGCCTCTTGCCCCAGAAGAATACCAAGGCAGTGACCTCAATACACTTGGCCAACATTCCTTTTCTCAATAGTCCAGGCTGAGTGGATAGAAAGAATGTCTCCAGGTTACTCAGAGAGGAGGAGGAAGGGTGGAATGTTAAAGTTTCAGTTCCCACTGAAACCGCCTGTTACACAAAAAGGGCAAAAATAACCAAGACCCAGAGGAAGATTGAAGCAAAGAGGTGGGAGGTTCTGGCCCATGTGCTGTGTGAGCTGAGCCCTCCCTCTCCTGGGAGAGTGACACATGCTGTTACTCCCATTCTCCATGAACCCCATCTTGGAAACTGGGAAGGTACAGCATGAATAACTGTCATTGCCCTACCTATCTCACGGGGTTGGTCAGGGTGTTAAAATAAGGCTGTGAATGTGAAATGCTTTCCAAACACAAAAATCTCAAAATAAGTCAAACATATTGAAATCCTTTAGGTATGATATATATAAACAAATAAATGCAAATAGAAGGTGACTCTTTTCCACTATTAGCGTTATAACTACTACCATTTTGGTGTACTCTGTTCTTGGAGGACAAAGAATAATATGTGCTGGTACTTATTTTTCCCCCCAGAGAGCTACTAAACACCCAACCCAAATAAATTAACATTGTTCTCTAGATTGACATCCAGTGAGAATAAGAAATCACTTGAATGTACAAAGAAAGAAGTTTGGCCGAAACCGGTTTGGCTCAGTGGATAGAGCGTCAGCCTGTGGAATGAAGGGTCCCAGGTTCGATTCCGGTCAAGGGCATGTACTTTGGCTGCGGGCACATCCCGTCAGCCTGTGGAATGAAGGGTCCCAGGTTCGATTCCGGTCAAGGGCATGTACTTTGGCTGCGGGCACATCCCCGGTAGGGGGCGTGCAGGAGGGAGCTGATCGATGTTTCTCTCTCATCCATGTTTCTAACTCTCTATCTCTCTCCCTTCCTCTCTGTAAAGAATCAATAAAATATATTTTAAAAAAAAAAAAGAAAAGAAAAGAAAGAAGTTTGGAGGAGACAAAAAGGAGTAGGGGAAAAGGAAAGCATTTTAGTTCATGGGTATTAGTATTCACACCTATTGTTTCACAGAGAGAGAAACACTTTTAATATTATACTTTTTTTGCAATAAAAAGTTAGAGCAAAACTCTCAAGATAAACATTTATCCTCCAGATTAAAAAACATAAAAAAACAAAAACCAGAAAGAAAAGAAAAGCAGCGGAGAAGAATGAAATCATGTTAGTAAATAAAAAGGAACTGAATAGTGGCCTAAGCCCTTCCCCAGAGATGCAGAGAAGAACATAGTAATTCCTATTGGATTCTTGTACTTTGCTAGACCCAAACCCATTCTTCTTCATCCTTGGATGTCAAGCTGAGTATGAGCTGGTCCACCTCCTTATGTGCAGTCAGGACTATATAAAAATTCCTAGTATTTCCCTCCACCTCAGGGTTGCCAAATTTAGCAAATTCTTGGGACAGTCTTATACTAAAAATTATTTCTTCTTTAATTAAAATTTAACTGGGTGTCCTGTATTTTATCTGGCAACTTTAGCTCCACCTGACCCACCATGGCCCCGACGATCAGCCCTTTCAATTAGCAGTATTTGCCAAACTTGCTATCGTAACAACCCATTCTGATGTAATAGATACAGGATTCATCCTGGGAACCTTTATACTTAACCAACACCCCAGGTCATTCTCACCACCAGACAAGATTGGAAGGGTTTCGATTCCAACATGGAGCCAATGCGGCCAAGACCACAAGTTGAATCTCTGTGTGAGGCCGGCCTCTTTGCTAGATTCACAGTCCAAGGACAGTACACCACCCCAACCCGTGTCAGTTTCCAACCCCCCAAGGACACACCCTATGCGATGGGCCCAAAACTCTGCACTCATCCACATTAGCTATGTTTTCCTATTGTGGGGCCAATGCTTGCTATACACACCCAGAGCTGCTGTCCTCGAGGACCAAGGGAATGCTGAGCCCAACCAGTTGTTTTTCCAGACTCTGCCAATCCTGCCTACAACAGCCAAGGTAGGGGAGGCAGAAGCAGCGGGCTCTCCGGGGTCAACTAATCAACAAGTCACATACAAAATGGCCCCCACGGCTCACTTTTGGTTTTTTTTAAGCCAACAGCCAAGGCACTTTCAACAGTTAAACAGCCTGTGCAGGGGAAACGTCAGGAAAAAATAACAGCCATGTTCAGGTTACAGCCTGGGATTCCCACCTCCCAGTCCTCCCTGGCTGATGTGTTTTGCCTCACAAGGGGCTCCTCCCATATCCTCCTCTCCTCCTCCTCCCTTGCTCTTCCTCCCCTCCCCTTCTCCCTCTTGCTCAGAGATAGCTGTAGTCATTCGTTAAACCTTTGACCTCCCCCATTTTCCTGTTTATATTGCATTCTCCCAGAGAATATCTTATTGGACTTTCTTCCTCCCCTCATTAATTGCTTTTGGTCCTAGTGTACCCATTTCCTCTCTGATTACATCCCCCATTCCTTGGCTGGTTCTACCTTATGCTTTTATCTTACTTACTCTGTACCTTCAAACCCTGCCCTCCTGTGGTCTTTCCCAGGAGACAAAATTCACCAGGGTCATCCATAAATAATCTGCATTTGTATCTCTGAAATCTGGTTATGAATCCTAGGGGCTTCATTGGGTCAAGCCTCAGCATATCTCAGTTACACAGCTTGTCCCTATGCAGATCAAGAAAGGTGACAGACACTCTAAGAATATGTTTTCTTGCCCAGCCAGCATGGCTCAGTGGTTGTGTGTCAACCTATGAACCAGGAGGTCAGGGTTCGACTTCCTGTCAGGGCACATGCCCGGGTTGCAGCTCAATCCCCAGTGTGGGGTGTACAGGAGGCAGCCAATCAATGATTCTCTCTCATCATTAATGTTTCTATCTCTTTCTCTCCCTCTCTGAAATCAATAAAAATATATTTTATTTTTTTAAAAAGAATATGTTTTCTTTTCCCCCAGACTCCTCTGGGCCATAGTTGTCTCCACTTTCTCTTGCTTTGGGAGAAAAAGGAGGGAGGAAGATACTGAGCTGCTCCTGTGGCTACCCCACTGCCCCAGCCAGCTTCAGGCCATCCATCCAATAAGGCACCCTCCTCATCTAGCTCTCCCATCTTCCAGGATTCAGCTACAGAATTCCAACTTCCTTGTAAAAGAAACTTAATACTATCAGGATGGTGACTAAGGGAAGGAGGATATGGCAAATGAGAAGGGAGGAGACCACATCACACTTGAGCAGCCAGCTCAGCCCAGAGGGGTGGAGAACCTTTGGGGTGGAGGGGAACAGCTCACCCATCCCCCCTCTGCACCCCCACTCGCAGCCCCAGGGAATGTTTCATTTGCTAAATGAAGTCAATGTGGCCCAGATGTTGGGCAGCTGCCTCTGGAAGCAGTTCCCGTGCTGAATTGCACACAGGCCAAAGCAGTGTGTTGAGCTGGCCTCTGCCTTTGGCAATCAGTCCCCTTGTAGAGGCATAAACACAGCCTCCCACTCCTACACACCCACCCCCGCCACCACCAGCCTGTCAGGAAGTTGCCTTTTTAGGAAACTCAGTAGATTGGGAAGAGAAGCAGACAGAGAGAACGAGAGCCTGGGTTAGAGCAGTCCCAAAACTGCCGAGGGCAAGAACATGCTATCGTGACAGAGGGCGCCTCAGATGACTGAGATACATACGCCATGCCGGGAGTTCAGGTAACCACCTGCTGGGGGCCAGGCCAATGACTCAGCCTCCAACTCTGTAATCACTGGAAACTCTCCAGCCACACTCCCCCCCCCCCCCCCCCCCCCAATAGGTCTTGCCAGCTCCAAATTCCTGTCCCAGCCACAAACACAGCCATTCCCCCAGACACACTCATTCCCTAGGGCCCCAGACACAACAAACCCTCTGCCTAGACACAGCTAACCCTTTCCTGTCACCCACCCATCCTCATCAAATTGGTCCTTCCCTCATTGACACCTAGGAGAGGAAAAGAAGGAGAAAAGGAGGAGAGAGAGAAAAAAGGTAAAGTCGTGGGGCTCCATCATCAGAGAGGAAAAGAAAAGAGAAAATACCTTCTGACAAAACATTCCCCCCACACAAGGGCAAGGTCCTTTTTCATTTGCCTTTTAATATTCTGGGATGTCTGTAAACCAGCATCCCCGGTGTACCTATAACCGTCTCCTGCCTCTCCTTTTGAGGTCTGAGGCTCTACTTCTGCGGAGTATTCCACCCCAACAAGAAGTAAGCAAAGTGTGGTGAAGGGTGGCAATGGCTACAGCAAGTCCAGGAGGACCAACCAAATTGCCCAGGACCCTGGGCCATGTGGTGAACCCTGGATTGCCTTCCCAGCAACACCCCATAACAGCTCACTTCAGCATCCATCAATGGGAAGGCCTGAACTAGCATCTGAATTAGATCTCCCATGGGTCTGTTCCTGCACAAAAACAGCTAAGTCTGGGAAATAAGTAAGGTTAAGTGTCTGCTCCTTACCTGATCTGAGCACCAGGCACACATGGGACTCACAGCCAGACATTGCTGGCAGGAGCTCACGCCTCGTGTGGTACAGATGTTTGGTCCTGCAACAGAGAGACGAAGGCATTAGCCCTGATCTGACTTGATAAAGTAACAGGCCTGCCCCATCCTTCCCAACTTTTCCAAATGCCCAGGTTTACAGCTCTCAGATGCACACCAACTCGCCCTAACCAGACCACAGACATTTACCAAATACATGCTGTTTGATAAGAAGAAGGATGAGGAAGGTCAGGAGAAACGCATCACTGACTGCCATTGATGAGGCCACAGTGATGGCAGGTGATGGAGCAAGGCTGAGCCATGGACCCAAGTGTCAGCTCATAAGTGATGGAAAGGCTTGAATTAGCAACTGGTTTGACACCTACACTGTGCAAATGAAAATCTGAGGCCCAGAGCAATGGCAATGTGTCCTTTCTCCAATTATTCTGATGATGTATTCATAGCCATTACACAGGGGCTCCAAAGCCCTGATGCACTAACATTAACATGCAACCTAAATATTGGGGGGCTGGGATGGCCATGAATGGCTCCCATTGGTCTACCAGGAAAAAAAATTTCTGGAATCTTATCAAACTTCCCAATACATATATCTTTGGATCCAAGCATAGAATGCTCCAGGGAGAATTGCAGAAATGTTAGAAAAGGCTGACTGATATAAGCTGGAAGAACATGGAATTTTGGAGTTGGAAAGCCTGTACTTGAATTCTGAATGCTCTTCTAACTACCTGTGTCATGACTTTGGGCAACTCAATAACCTCTATGAAATGATAATATCTATCTCACAGGATGTGTACAAGAATTCACTGAGGTAAGGGAGAAGTACTCAACTGTCAACAGTCTTCATACTGTCAAAGGAAAGTGGAAAAGCAGGTGGGGGAGGAGCAGGGACAAACAGAGGGCCCAAAATAGCCCTGAGAAGCCCAGCCTGGAAGGAAACCTCAGGCTTTTACTTGGACAGAAAGCCGCCATCCTCCTTGCTTTCCCTAGCTCGGCCGGGTGAACCCTTCTGTGCCCCAGGAACGCCTTTTTCCAATATAAGGAGCAAATGAGAAAAACCCATTCGTCCCCATGACCCAGTTATCCTGACAGTTCCTTTATCCAGTTTGCTAAAGTGGCCTCTTTGCCCCGAGCTGGTGAGACTAGCAACTCTATTTGAGAGAAACCATTTTGACAGCTGGGATGTTTTCCCATTGTCTCCAAAACTTCTCATTGAGCTGAATGTCTCAGTCCATTTTATTATAGTGTGACTGAACTCCCTCCCAACTTCTGGACAAAAATATACCAATCAGTCCATTTTATTATAGTGTGACTGAACTCCCTCCCTTCCAACTTCTGGACAAAAACATACCAAGAAAATTTGCTTACAGAGAGAGAGAGAGAGAGAGAGAGAGAGAGAGAGAGAGAGAGAGAGAGAAAGAGAGAGAAGTGTTAGGAAAAATTATCAAAAATTTGGAAATAGATGAAGGGAATACTCGGTGCCCTTCCGATATAATTCAGGGTGTTGACTAGTAGACCCACATGCTTAGGGATTATCTGACTTTCTAGTGGTGTGTACCTTTATTTGACTTCGATCAATTAGAATGCAACTCTTCAAGAGTAGAGGAGAAAGAGAGAGAGAGAGAGAGAGAGAGAGAGAGAGAGAGATGTTAGGAAAAATTATCAAAAATTTGGAAATAGGTAAAGGGAATACTGGGTGCCCTTCCAATACAATTCAGGGTGTTGACTAGTAGACCCACATGCTTAGGGATTATCTGACTTTCTAGTGGTGTGTACCTTTATTTGACTTCGATCAATTAGAATGCAACTCTTCAAGAGTAGAGGTGCACTTACAGAAAATCAATAACAATGGAAATGATTCTCGATGAAAATGAGATATATGATTCTTACCCAGCAGCAACACACATGATTTCTGTCTGGTAGGAAAGGGAATCCCCAAAGGTTAGGGTTTATTGCCTTGCAGAACCTTAACCAATTTTGAATCACAATTTCTCTTTCTCCAGCCAGACATGAACACAGCCCCTCTTATTGGAAGAGTTCTGAGAGAAGCATAGCCTGAACTATTTTAGGAATCTGCTTCCCGTTGTGAAGTTTGCAATGGGATTGGCATCCAGAAGGGTGATTCTGGACATAAATGCCATCGATTTTCACCAGGGAAAGGAGACCACGTGAAGAGTGAGAAGGACGTGACCATGGAGTACACTGTCAACTTATTGTTGAAAAAATTTTCCCAGTGTATACATTTACCCATTCATTCTCAACTTAGCATTTCCCTATGAGTCCTCGACTTGCAGCCACAATAGAAAGCCTCCTCAGATGTGAAATAAATAACAGCAAGACCTCTCCTTGTGAATGGGCAGTCCCTGACCTCGGAGGATGAAGTGCTGCTGGGATTTGTTCTTTAGGAAGTTATGCCTGGGGAGTGATGGCTACCCAGTTCCCCTTACATCTCTTTTTAATGAATCACAGGTTGATTTCGTGAGAACCAATAACAACCACCCCCAATACCCCCCACCAAGGCCTGCCATCAAGGGCAAGTTCCTGGAACGCAGTGGCTGAAAGTGATGGACTCATCAGAAGTCTCTGTGCCTGGGCCATGCTGATTCAATGAGCTGCTGCCCTGAAGCCACCCCTCCCTCCTGAACATGTGGAAGGAGTTTGGGTCTCTGTTTCCAGTCATTCATAAGGCCTATGTTCCTGTTCAGCCTCCGGGGCCCAGACTCAGCCCTGCTGCAGAAGTGACTGGAAGAAGTCCTTCATCAGAACTCTGTCATTGCCGAAAACAAACAACTCCTACCACCCCTTTCCTCTCTAACAGTTTAGCCAGAGCAAGGAAACAAGGGGGGCTGGCCCTGGTCCTCACAAGGTGATTAAAACGTTCATTTCAATGAACCAATCTCTGTCAAACTCTGAGCACAACGGCTGGCTCAGAGAAAGCACTCAACAAATGCTTCCACAGTTGCTATTGTTTTTTAAAATATATTTTTATTGATTTCAGAGAGGAAGGAAGAGAGAGATAGAAACATCAATGATGAGAGAGAACTATCGATCGGCTGCCTCTACACACCGCCCTGACTGGGAATTGAACCATGACTTCCTGGTTCATAGGTCGACGCTCAACCACTGAGCCACACCAGCTGGGCGCTGTTGTTTTTGTTGTTGTTGTTTTATCCTGCAGCTGAGCTGTTTCAGGCGGTGAAGGTTTTACTTTCTTTTTCCCCACCTAAAGACAGTTCTACAGGACACCCTGAACACCGGGGTAGTGAGGTCATGGAGCCAGAAAGCCTCAGGCTAGAAGACAATGATCAATCCTCAGATCTGGCTTCTAAATGGAGTGAGGAATGTTGGGTGTTCAAAAATCCAAGCTAGGAGGGATGGCCAAGCAGAGCAGGCCAGTTAGAAACAATAGACAAGGGCAGCCAAGAAGTTTGCCTGGAAAGTAGTAGAAAGCTATGGTTTGGCACCTCAGCCCCATTCACAGAACCAGAAAAGAGACAAAGGGTGGGAAAAATGGAGAAAAAAGAAAAACAAGGAAGGGAGTTGGAACCAATGGAAATCATAATGCGTCAATGAGAGCTATTTTGAGGACATGCTGTCCAATGAGACAGGATGTCAGAACGCAGAAACAGGCCACCCTCGTGGGGCCAGGGGATTTCAGGAGAGGGCTGTTAGAGGGAGACGTGTTAGTGGGAAGGGAGGATAATTCGTACTGTAAACACGAGGGATATCTCTCTTACTGTCTGCCAGAGAGTTCTGGTCTGGGTCCCCAGCCCTGCCACTGACTTTTGGCTCATCACTAATTAGTCCCATGGGGACACAGGGTGACTCAGGCAGTGCCTGATCTTCCAGCGCAGTCACCTGGCTGGGTGAGTCATCCAAAAACAAAACATCTCATGCTAACTGCACTATGAGTGCACAAGTGGCTTCTCTAGAGCAAGTTGCTAAAAAAGGTTATTTTATTCTTTCATTAAATGTAGCAACAGCTCATAACACAAGGAAGAGGAAGGAGACAGGCAGGTGGAGTTCCAGGTAGCACAGACCCCCGTGCTCTGAGCAGAAAGCTCCAGGAAGCATCGCTCAAAGCAGTAGGAAATCCAAACTACCATGTAGGATGCATCCCGATTTTGGAGATTTTAAAATGTCTTTTTTAAGTACATCAGAGCCAATTAAATATGGTCTTCAACATTAGAAGGCATTTGTATAATTTGCCTCCACCGATATTAACATGTGTTATGGGTTGAACTGTGTCCCCCAAAAAGATATGTGGAAGTACCTATGAGTGTGACTTTTTTTAGAAATAAGGTCCTTGGAGATGTGATCAAGGTGAAATCATTAGGGAAGGCCCTAATCCAACAAGACTGATGTCCTTATAAAAGAGAGAGACCGAAAAAGAGAATGCCACGTGATGACAGAGGCAGAGATTGTAGTGTTGCAACTGGAAGGCAAGGGACGCAAAGACTGCCAGCCGCCACCAGAGACAGGAAGATGCAAGGAAGGATTCACTCTGGAGTCTCCAGTCAGGGCCCTGCTGACACCTTGATTTCAGATTTCTAGATTCCAGAGAGAATATGTTTCTGTTGTCTTAAGCCACCCAGTTTTGGCAGCCCTGAGAACCTAATACCAAATGGATTTGCATTTCCATAGCTAATATGACATGCTTTTGAGGAACATTGCCCTGAAATCCTCTGCATAACTGAGAAAAGCCAGCCTGGAATGAGAATTTTGCTATGGTTAACCCACCTATGGACAATGGAAAAGAGGTTAGTTTTACACTTTTCCTCTCATATATGTCATGGTGTTAGCACTCATTCATTCATTTATGTACTCAACAAATTTTTATTGAGCATCTAACTATGCCCAGCACTCTCCTAGGCATTGAAGATACATTGATGAACTAAACACACCTCCAACTCTTGTAAATTTTAGTGAGGAAGATGAAAACAAAAGACACACACAACAACCAGTACAATTTCAAACAGTGGTAAATGCTTTAGAAAATAAGGCAGGATAGAGGAATAGTGACATTGAGAGGAGGGAGCCTCCTTTAGAAAATGTGGTCAGGAAAG